ATGTTATTTTACAGATATTATAGAGGTTTATAGCATTGGATTCTATTGTATTTGTGGTATAGAGAATTTCTGAAGAAATGGGGAGGATATTTCTAGTGGGAATGCTTTCTGGAATTCTCCCGTGTGCCAGAGCAGTTTGGCAGGCATGAGAAACTTCATTCAGGCCGAGTGAGCATGTATTGATGTCGGGATAAGAGATTAAACTGTATCAGTGTTTGCTCTATTCTTCATGCTGCCACATTTCCCTGGTTAGGTTCATTTTTTTATATATTGATTCACAGTAGAAGCACTTGCATATTCACCAGAGTAATTAAAAATTAATTTGTTTATTATTAGCTATAACAGTAAATCTTCATGACATTTATCATGGGATAGTCTACTTTTTTGGCGTCATCCTGAGCAATCTGCATGCTGGCTAGTTGCCAAAAAAGGCTGAATCTTTCACAGAACAGTGAAGTACCTTGTTCTTATATGGGAAGCACAGTCATGTCTCACTCAGTATGCGAGACATCTGGCTCCAGTCGGGCTCCATTCTGCTTGTACACATCTGGCTTTCTGCTCACATTATTGAAAAGCTTTTTAATTATAAAAAACTTGAAAGGTGAGACTGAGAGTCCCCCCCCCCCAGTTTGAAAAGTGTGGGGAAGGAAAGTTGGTGATATAATGGGCAGCGAATAAGGCAAGAATGATATCTGTCTGATCATTAATTTTCCTGCTTCAGTTTCAGCTCATGTACCAGTTACCCTGCAGCTTCTCGTCAGACTTACTGTAACTGTAATAGGACTCTCATGCCAACCTTGGTACCAGCCCAATCGCTTTCTGGCTCACGTACATATTCTAAAATGTGAGCAGCACTGTCTTCTGGTTAAACCGCCATGAACGGAATTGCTGCTGTACCCTTGGGTAAGATGCTTAACTCGAATATGTTGAATATTAATGTTCCCCTGTACAAACAAATCAACTCCCAGTTAGCTGCTTTGGATAAGAGAAGGAAGAGGGAGAATTTGCGGCCTGGAGATGGGCATGGATGGAGGGGGGGGTGGGGGATGTGACCACCAGTGCCAGGGCTAGATCCTGGATTTGCTGGGGTTAATCTGTTTACTTGATCCCTGATCATCTGGGTCAGTCAAAGTAGCTTGTTATTTCCATGGACTGGTTAACAACTGACCAATAAAAAAAACATATGGTTATGTGTGCATGTGTAGGACATTGTCCCTTTAAGACTGGCTTAAAAATGAACCCGGAACTTCTCTATCTTACTATCAGAATAATGCGGCAAATGGGATGGATATTTTTTTTTTGGATAGCTAGGGCTCGGTGAAGTGTAACTTGTATTTAAATTTCATTTGCTAAAGGGCATGGCAGAAATGCTGAAATGCCCCATTTTCCCCATTAATTATTAAGGGAAAAGGGGTTTTTTTAGTCATGGAAATGTGTCCTGTTTTTACCCGTTAGTTAATGTTGACTGTCTGTGCCATTTTACACACGTGGAAGATCGACAATAGGAGGAAGACGATTCTTCTCTTCTGTCATATTTTAGGTTTCATTTCCTCTATCAGACAGTGAAGGGGCACATCAAAGGTACCACAGTGGAGGTTTCGGCCTTCTGTTTATAACGACGTAATCGGCAAATTGGAAAGGGCCGGCTGGGAATCTGAGACGCAGCTCACTGTGCACAAAGGAATAGATCTACAGCAGAGTATGACCAGACAGAGACGTGTAACAGAAACAGAAAAGCTAAACGCAGTGTTTAGTATTTGTATGTAAACAAAAACCTGTCAAACGTGTTAAACATTGTCATTCATTGTTACCCAGTTTTTAATCATACCATAAGCATGCTTTTCCTCCTTCCTCAGACCTCTGATAGAAATCACACATTCACATCCATCCCTACATACCACCCTGCTTAGTAACGGCCTGGATACGCCCACTACCTGCCTACCATTGGCTGCCAGCACCTGTCAGAACTGTTGTGTCACTGCCCTTCTTCCGGCTAAATTAAAACCTTTACCTTTTCAAGCTCTGAAACACCCATCATAATTTTTTAATAATTCATGGTGTAATGTTCCTATTCTGTATCTTTTATCTATCATACATAGTTTTGGGCAAACAATCACTTTTTTATATCACAAAAAAACATGAATGTTGTGATATACATATATTTGCAGATTATTATTGTTATTATTAAAAAAAAAAACAATTATTTTCAAATCAACGAATCAATTAATTTTGATAATCGTGTCATCGTGTGATCCACTAATCGATTATTTTGGCCAAAACACAGGGTTTAAAGTGCAAATGCTGTATCATAAAAAATCAAAAAGCATTTTAAGTCATAGTTATAAAAAAAAATACACAATGTAGACAATATCTATTTAAAGTTACACAGAGACATAGAAACAAAGATCTGCTGTCCCCACTACATTTAGCCCGGTAAAAATTTTACTACATACCGTGGTATATGGCATTTTGACTGTGTTTTCAAAAGGAATGCTATTACAGCAATACGGTATATTGCGGTATTTTGAAATCTTGGTCACAAAATTAGCTGGGAACCCACGCACCACTTGAAGGATTTATTCGGCAAGACTTCAAAATGTCACTGGGTACTGTATTATACTGCTGGTATATCTGCCCCCTGCTGGTCTGGTGGAATATTATCGCTGTGTGTATGCGCTAATCGTGACCGTCTGTGACCGCGGACAAATGCAGTATGTAGGATATGTGGAAAAGTGGAAAAGGCTTAACACACCAATGTCAACGTTGCTAGGTGGTGATACAATTGTACATATGTTACGAGACGAACCGCAAAAATACAACCGATTGAAGACAAAATGAGTTGTTAACTATTTTCATTACTAAATGTTATTGATGTTATCAATTAGTTGTTGGACCTCTAGTGGCCATTTTAATTGGGATCTCTATGAAGTGCCAGACAGGACCAAATTGTTTGGTCGGAGAAGTCTCTGCATACACCACTGATCTGGGATGCCTGTTTGATGCTGAAATCACCACATACTGTATGGCACTGACAAGCACACCATGTTCAAAATTAAATAGATCGGGCATTTTCATTCGAACAGTAAGTGAGCCCTTGACCCTGTCTGTGTGCTGTATGTATTCATTGCAGCCACAAGATTCTCTGTTTAGAGGAATAGGCTGTTCGTAGTAACAGGCAGGTGTACCTAATAAACTGGCCATTGAGTGTACATTTTTACATTCAATTAAATTTCATCTCAATTAAATGAAATTGTGCTAATTCCTAGAGCCAGTTTGACTACAGTATATGAGTTTGAGATATCCACTCACTGTTGTACTTCTTTAAGCAGTTGTATGGCTCAGCACTGTATACTTGGAAAGTTAATATCTTTTCATAAATGGGGTAAAAAGATAAATTTGTTGAAGCCTGTCTACAGCTGTATTTATAAGTCATTTACACACAAATGGGTCCTATGTAGTCTTTCTAAGAGGTGGTCACATATATTTTCCATGCTTAAAAATTTACAGCATACATCTCACCTGTAAATGTTTGTTTTAACGTACAATTGCAGGCATATTAATGACTTTATGATGTTTTTTTTTTTTTTTTTACATCTGGTACAGGTACAGACTTTCTTCTCCATTCCATGTTACGTTTTAGGTTGTGAATTAAGATGGGCTTATAATTTTGAAACATAAACCTTTGCATATTTCCGTATTCTATGTGTTTTGTGAAAAATCATATATGAATTCTCTATAAATATTTTAAATGGACTGCCGTATCATTATTTTTAGATTTATTGGTAGTTTATTAACCAAATCCCATATTACAAAGTAAATTAGTCTTGTGTGTTTTTTTATAATCCTGGAATAAATATTAACTATAATAAGAATTTACAATATATGTACAGTACTGTGCATAAGTCTTAGACAGTCAAAGGAAATGTTTGAAGCTTTTTATCTGTGTACTAGGTATATATTTGCTCAGAACAACACACACAATTTAATATCAGAATATATGCAAATTAAGAACACAATAAAAACTAACAAGAATTTCTTCAGTTTTCCAAAAGGTTACTGATATCTGGTTGGACGTCTAGAAGAACCATCTAGGTTCCCAAACCTCTCCTCAGGGGCACCTCAGCCATTCCATATATTCATTAAATTTCATCATCAGCTCTTTTATTTGATCGTTTTAGTTAGTTTAAAAAGTCAATGAAGCATTGATTAGCCAAATAAGGTGTGCTTGTGGTCAAATCAAAAAGTATATGGGTGTATTGGATAGTTGCTACAAATACTGGGGTGACTTTAGGAGAGGTTTTAAAATGGCTAAACTGACACTTTGACAGACAAAACATCATGACAATGAAGATCATCCCTCCATTTACTGAACCAGCTTATACTATTAAAGGTTATAGGGGATCCAGAGCCTATGGGCACAAGGCAGGGAACAGCCCAGGATGGGTCAGCAACCCATCACAGGCCACACTCACACACCATTCACACTTATGGGCAGTTTGGTAACTCCAATCAGCCTCAGCATGTTTATGGGCTGTGGGGGGAAACCAGAGTACCTGGTGAAAACCACAGGCGACATGGGGAGAACATTCAAACTTCACACACAGAACCTTGGCAAAGACTTAAATTCAGATCCCAGAACTGAGAGACGACAGTGCTAACCACTGCACCACCATTTTCTTTGCCTAAGACTTTTGCACATTATTGTATTTCAGTGCTTTTTGATTTTTAAAGTTAGTTAGAATTTAGGCGATTTTGTCCATAGCAAATAAATTCATTACAGTAATGTTTTACATTATCATATTCTCTTAAAATTGTCTCACGTCACAGACCTTTCTTGTGGAGCGTTTGAGAAGCCTGGCTATTGTTTGTGATTAACTGGCGACATCTGCTGGTGATTTGGATAATTGCGTCTTACCCACTGAGCCGTCGTGGCGTTCCATTCTTTTTCCATTCAAAAATCAAGTTCAGTCGCACTTAATTTTGTTGTCTTCTCTTCGCAGGGTGTCAGATCGGATGTGTGTAAGTACTGTTTCGTTTTCTCAAGATGTTTAAAGTACTGTCATTTTGTATGAGAATTATTATAGGGAGAGAGAATTGCCTGCTTATTTTGACGTCTACTGTACCTGTGCAATAACCCGCTCTCTGGGGATTAGGGTAAAGGTAAGCATTTAAATATCACTGTGTTGCATTTGTCGTCTTCGCTGCTCAGGCACTCCTTGTACGGATTTCGCAGCTGAATTCGTGTTTCCGTCAGTCATTACGGTTTCTACTGGAAACTGCACTTTAGACCCCAAAGTCAATGGCGGAAACTTCAGCTACTTTATGTCGGTTACATGTGCACGTAAGTCATTAAAACCCCGAAGTATATCGACAATCAAGAAATGAAATTTGAAGTGTATTTTCGCAGTGTCGTATAGGCATGTATTACTGAAATCGATTCAGACGACCCATGCTTTGTTCGCTCTGTCTGTATTGTATTTTTTATTCCGTCAGCAAACAATGATAGCAGCTACATCAACAACAGCTATAATCTTACTAATGTGACACTTGGGGAAAATTACACGTTCAACATAAACGCCTCGTTTGGGAACGTTAGCTATTCTGTGACCCTTTACAGTTATACGTGTAAGTATTCTTAAAATGTTGAAATAAAATATGTGCAAATCAGTGCAATATGTTTGCCTTATTTGTATGTCTGTTTCTTCTTCTTACCATGGATGGCTGTTGCAGCTAACTTCAAAGTGTCAAGTATTTATTTCAGACTCAGAGTGACTTGCTTTTCCGTGTTGCAGATGTTAACCCACTGACAAACCTCAGGGTAGTCAACCAAACAACTGGATCCATCGGAATTAGCTGGGACCTACAGCCAAACGTGACCTCGGCTGCGTTCAGCTACTCTGTATCCTATAATAACTCCATCATAAATACCACGAGTAAATCTGCGCTTCTTCAGGACTTGCAGCCAGGGACTCCGTACAACATTTCTGTGATGATTGTGATACCCCAGAGTACTTCCCAGGTTACTGTTCGGGCTTATACCAGTAAGAGGCAGGCCACGGCTCACAGACACCATCTTAGATAAATTACAGCTAAAATGCATTTGTGCTCATTTAATAATGCACTGCTACTCTCATAATGTGGATTACATTGTGCTGTCCAAGTTGGTGAGCTAGTAGTCATGTAGCGCATCTTCATCCTTTGGGCGTATTGGCACTCACTGTGTATATATAGTACATAATCAGGGTTGCCAACTCACATATCTGGCGTGATTCTCACGCTCATGCAGGAAATCTTACAACAAATCTATATTATAAACCTATATTTAGCTATGTCAATCACGTTGCGGTAGTTGCAAACCCTATAGACTATTTACAAGGTAATAAAATTGTGCCATACCTTTAAATGAGTGTGCAGACATGTCACGAATTGAAAAACTCCCGCCAGCCGGCTGCCCAAAATTGGCAACACTGTACAATTGGTGTTAATACTGAAACGAGTCAACACTGGAAGTAAGGAGCTGCTACAAAAAATGAGAAACTAGCTTGCAGTTACGGTGAAGTGGCTATCAATTAAATGACCGTCACTGCAGTTATCTTTGGCTTTGTTGTACAGGACTATGCAGAATGTTGACCTGCCAGTATGGCTGATTTGGTGGTAGTAAGAAGGTTCTCTGTGTATTTACTGATACATTCTTGGAAATGCTGATTCTGTGTCTACAGGCATTGCCAAAAGTTCTCTCAAATGAATTTTATTAGCCTGATCTTAAAAATATACAATTTGACTTGTAAACTCAAGTTTTCAATATTTGATTCTTATATGAAAGGGATGACTGGCCTTTCACAAGTTCCTCGTTTTAGTGGAAAATAATGCACAAATGTAATGTGTTCTGATAGGTGTTTTTTTTTTTTTTTTTACCTATTATGAATTTCTCATGGAAATTAGTGAGAAAATGTTTTCAAAATCTCACCACTTACTTACATGTTGTAATTACATTACTTAACAGTTTAGGCATACCCAAGAGTACAGTTTGTTGAAAATGTCTCTGTCGGTAACACTTTGCTTGATGGGGCACAAATACTTAGTAACTCAGTTACTACTGAAGTACAAATCATGAACAAATATACTCTACTTGAGATAAAAGATGCGTCACAATTAATTAATGATGACTAAACATAAGATCAGTATTTCATTTGTGTTATTCATTACTTATGTATATTGCAAGGAATATATTACATGTATTCATTACTTATACATATATTGCAACTTGTAGTTCACAAAGTTTTACAGAATTAACAGATAAAGTAACATATAAAACATGTAACGATTAATGATTAATTAGCATGAGATTGGTATGTAAATAAGGCTTAGTTTGTGGTTAATACATGAATAATAGGATAATGCTACATTACTTGTGCCCCATCAAGTAAAGTGTTACCCCTCTATCTAATAACAATTTGAAAAAGAACACAGAATGAATCTGTATGTTAAAAAACTTTTTTCCTTCGTGTCACCCTCTCTTTCACGTGCAGGACCTGATGTCATCAGGAACCTGACTGTCACTGCAGTATCAACAACGTCTGTCTCGTTGTCCTGGGCTCCTCCTGTGGGAAATGCTGCCTTTTACCGTGTACTATGGAATGACAGCAGTACTCAGCAGAATACTACTTCACT